GCTTCCCTGGGCACAGTGGCCTCCCCTGTCTTCCTGCAGGCAGAGGCCCCACATGGCAGACGAGTACTGTGACCTGGGTATGGAAAGATGGACTTCACGAACCTGATCCGGAGCCGTTTTAGGTGGAGGAGCAGAGAGGATGGGGTGTGGGTTAAAGAGGTCCATAAACTCTGGTGTTAATTGGCTGAGCACTTGAAGTGTGGTTAGTGCAACTGAAGAGCTAAATTTTACATTTAATTTAAATTCACTTAAAATGAAATAGCTGTGTGTGGTCAGTGGCTGCTTCACTGAATAGCATAGCTGTAGAGTCCGGACTTTGTTTGTTTTAGAGGAAGCGGAGACCAAAGACAGCAGAGACCTGCAGCCCACAAGGCCGTGCACAGGGTTGGGCATGTGTGTTGAAGCCGCAGCTTTCCGCAGGAAGCTGGCCAGTCCTCAGCGGGACGCACATCCTTCCATCCTGCATCCAGATGGCGGTCCTGCTCAGGTCAGTGCATGGAGAAAGAACTGGCACAAACTGCACGATGGGTCAGGTGCTTGGCAGGTATTTGCTAAAGGTGGTTCTTCATAGGAATCCCATGGAACATTATTATTTCTCTTCCTCTCCCTCCTGAGCCTCAGAGTGAGAGTCAAAAGGCCAGCTTGTCCCCCCATCCCCCCCCCCTTGTTTTGCTGACATGGGGGAGGAGCCTTGGTGAGGGGAAGAGATCTGCTTAAAGCCCTGAAAGTGAGCAGAAGTGAGCTGACACGACCTCTCATTGCAGAGCACTGATTGCCTATGGTTAAGCCTTTAGAGATTCCATCAACCCCTCCTGTGAGCACTTCCCTCAGAATGGAGTACGAGGGGCCAGGAGTGTAATTTCTTTCCCAGACTCCAGTTCTTATAGTCAAGGGAGCACTGTGCGGACTCCAGGCCTGTGCTTCCGCACACGGTTCCCGTCTCTGTCTCACATCCACTCCTTCTGCCTGACACTTTCTGCCCCACCAGCAGGCTCACTGGGGCTTCCTCTCAGGCGCAGCTTGGACAGCCTGCCTCAGAGAGCCTTCCCTGACCGCCCTGACCAGCCTGCCTGTCCCTGGGTGCGCCCGCAGCCCAGACAGCCCTGTGGCCTCCTGCCATACTCGGTGCCCTGCCGGCCTCTCATGAGTCTGCAGTTCAGGGACAGTGAGGACTGTGCTGTCTTCTCACCCTGTCTCTCCAGCCTCTAGCATGGGGGTGCCTGGCCCCCAATTGGACAAATCCTTAATCTCTCTGACCGAGGACAAAATGGGAGAAAAGTACCAAATTCCTAGGATTGATAAGGGATAGTGAGATAAATATGCAAATCTCTTGTCCAAGGGCCTGACTGGGTAAATGGAAGTTCTTTTTTCTTATCTTCTCATTAGGAAAAGATATTTTCACAGAAAGCTAACTGACGGTGGAAGGGAGTGGATTGGTGGTCCATCCAGGGATGCTGGTTGGGGGTCTAAACTGCCATAGGAATCACAAATCATGGGACTTAACAGGGGTCCTCAAACTACGGCCCGCGGGCCACATGCAAATACAAATATTGTATTTGTTCCCGTTTTGTTTTTTTACTTCAAGATAAGATATGTGCAGTGTGCATAGGAATTTGTTCATAGTTTTTTTTTAAACTATAGTCCGGCCCTCCAACGGTCTGAGGGACAGTGACCTGGCCCCCTGTTTAAAAAGTTTGAGGACCCCTGCCTTAGGACTTGAAAGGCAGGTAAGCACCACTTCCTACAGCCAGAACACCTGCCTGAGCTGATTACATGGCGGGGCAGGAATCCCAAAGGGAGAGGAGGGCTGATAGGGGACCTGAGCCCAGACCCCTCTGCTGCCACAGCTGGCTGGAAGCAGGGTCTTAGCTGGAAGCAGGGACATGGGAAGGTTTCTTTCCAGAAGGACTGTAGGCCCATGTTTTACCAACTGCGGGGGTGATTCATAGGCAGGTCATGAAATCAGTTAAGTACCTTTGACCAGCATTGACAAGACCAAAAGACCAGCGTGATGTTACTGCAGTTGAATGAAACGTTTTGGGTTGGAGGAGGCTAGAGGGTGATTTTGCAGACTGAGGTGGGTAGGGTCAGGACTTGTGTAACCTGCCAATTACTTCTCATCTCCAAGGCAACCTGAAGGAAAAGGATGGCCTGGGGAGGGGGCTGTGGAGGAAGGAGAGCCGCGGTGGAGTGTGCACTGTTTGGCACTCCTCTGATGGTGGTTAAAGTGGTGCCGATAAGGACAGGTTTGCAAAGGCATTGTGGGCAGCCTTCTTCCCAGCTGGCCCTGCAGAAAGGCTCCCCTGCAGAGGTGATAGGGGCTGCCTGGTCCCTTATTGTTATGAAATTCCTCTAACAATGGTGACACCGAATTTGTGGAGCACTTCATACTTTTCAGAGTTCCCAGCCTCTCATTTACTTTTCATAAGGCTCCTGGGAGGTGGGGGGCACTGCAGATCCGAGCTAGCACCGCGACTGCCAGGCGTAGGACTAGAAATCAGACCTCTGAACTCCTACATGAGTACTCTTTCCACACCAGTGAGTGCTCTGTGTGAAAGTGTAGGTTCAAGACCTTGGTTGACCATTGGAATCACCGTGGCAGCTTCCCCCATATTCCAGTGCCTGCCTGTGCTCCTCCTCACGCCATTGAAATCAGAATCTCAGGGGTCAGGGGGTGGAGGGGGTGGGAGGACCCTGGGCATCAGTATCTTTAAAGCTGCCTTTGGAAAGACCCGTGCACAGCCAGAGCTGGAAACCAGGGCCACATCCTCCAACTCCCCCAGCTCGTTCCCTGGGCACCCCTGCCTTCTTTCTGGCCCTGGCTATCAGATACTGGCCTTGGCCCATCTGCCTAAACTGCCTGCAAGGTTCATTGTTGCCCCCACCAACCCCTCTAGGAGCTGCCACCCAAGTCCAACCCCCCAAACAAAAGTCCCCTGGGGGCCCAGAGAGGAGGTGTGAGTAGGAAGAAGGAGGCAGGTGGCTCTGACAGACAGAAAGCAAACAGCTCAAGGGGTGGCAGGCTACATTTTATTCATCGTAATTCAGATACCCTTCAAGCCCTCTTGGAGCGCTGCTCAGAAAAATAAATGTATTGTTTAAGAAACTCTGCAGGCCTGCCCCGCATGCTCTACCCACCCCTCCTGAGAGAACATGAAGCATAGAAAATAATTTGTAAAGCCAGAGGGAGCTTCCCTAAGGAGGAGGGGGAGGGGAAGAGGCTAGAAGAAAGGGGAAGAGGGCTGGGGTCAGTTAGTGCAGAAATCTCATAGCTTCTCAATGCATAATGAGACCGGCTGGGCGGGCCGAGATGCTGCGCGAGCCTGAAGGTGCGTGCCAAGCTGCTCTGGGGG